TTCTGCACTTCAGCCTTGTGTACCCTGCGGCCGGCGATGCCGTCACCACTGCCACCACCTCAAGTGATGGGTCGCTGCAAAAACTCGAAACCACACTATTACGTTTTGCAGGAGTCGCAGTGTGGTGGTTAATAACTCGACATTCTCCAACCACTACAATGCGGGCATGAACATTGTACGAATACGTCATGGAGCCATTTTTTCCATCACATGTTCCTTTGATGGATATGAAACGGTCGCCGGCTCTCAACGGGACACCTCGATCGAGACAAAATCCGCTCCATCGGCTCTGCCCGCAAGCAGTAACCCGCCAGGAACCCGTGAAGACAAGGCTGCCCATGATTCGATGGCCGAAACGGGGTCGGGTCACTGGCTGCCGAGCCCCGTTCCAGAGTCGTGGGAGTGCCAAGGAGGGGAGGGAGTTGCTCGGCAGAGGTTGTTGGCGGCATTGCAACAGATAGCGACTCAACCGAAAAAAAAGCTGCTTTGCAGGACAAGGGCTGGGTGACGGGTTGGTTGGCTTTTTCGCCCGCCCGTCACAGTCGTACGAGAGACGAGGTTGCATCATCCAGTTGCCGATATGAAAATAGAAAGCCAGGGTCCCTAACTTGCATGAAGTGTCATTTATGACTGCTCGACAATCGGCCTCGACACCAATCCCGGACGGCGGCCTTCCACCCAGCTGATTGCCTTGCCGCCCACGTTGTCCAACATGACGGCATCGCGAACCCTGAAACAGGTGCCGAGCACGCCAGCCCGATTGACTCGTCACACCGGGCACCGTCCAAGAATGGGCGGCACAAGGACGCGCCCGAACGCAGGTCCATTTTCCTCTGAAAAACAAAATAAAAAATACGTTAGTATCAAATTCCACGGTGGCGTGCTAGGTGTGAGCCAGCCCTGGCAGGGCCAAGCTCAGCCTCGTGCTTCAAGCGAGCATGAGAAGCGCCAAAACCTCGGACAAAAGACAGGGCCATGTGCTCCGAGAGGATGCATACATACCCCCCCCTGTGGCAGACAAATCAAAAAAAGAAATCATACTGTTGCCTTGGGTTCGTGCCAGGGGAGAAAAAAGCAGTCCCATGAGCTTATCTACGCCGCTCGGGGCTCGTTCCCAAGGTAGAAAAGCGAACTGCCGATGCCATTCAGAACTACGATTTTGTACACATTCACACGGGGGGTCGAGAAAATAAAAGACAAGGGAGCAAAAATAAAAAAAAGAGAGAGACGCCGGTAAGCAGCCCCCTTTTTAGCCCATGTCGCAGACTCTTGATTCCATTTCGAGTTGGCAATCCAGCGACACGCTCTCGCCCAACGAGTATGTATGCGTTCATGGCACAATCTTCTAGAACCCTTCTCGGTCCCTCCGGAGGCTTTTTGTCTCTCGGAGACATTTCTATCCCTCTCATCAGAAACACCAATAGGGGCGGTGCATGGGCAAAAACCACCAGCCTTGGCTCATTTCACGGCTGCGAACCAATAAGCGCGTGCCTACGAGGGAGGCTGTGAAAAATAAAAGATAAAAATACAGATACTCATACCTGAATGGTCCAAGGGGGGCTGGGCTTTTTGCAGGCGTCCCAGCTGGGTAGCGTGAAAGCAGAAAGCGGCTTGCGATTTTGATCTGTCAGATTTTTCTTTGTGCCTTTTTTGCCTCTGTTCACGATTTCTGGACTAAATTTTTTATTTTTATTTTCAAACGGGATAGTCGACGCCACCTCCGCTAGCAGCAAAGACAAAAACCACATGGGATGTTTGGAGCAAAGTCATCAGGTTGCAGGGGCGGGATGGCGCGGCGGCGTTCATATTCGCCCACGCCGTGGCTTTTGAGTGGGTGCAAGCTTTGCTTTTTTTTTGCTACTGAAGAACGTGCCTTTGGCCGCATTCCAACGGCGTTGTGGCCTTGGCGGCGGCTTCGAAAATAGATGAATGGGTTCCTCAGCCTCGCTGGTTAAATTTTTTTTTTTGGCAAAAGAATGGCGCGAGCATTGCATAACTAAGGGTCGAGTGTAACTACAATGAAAGATGTTGTGCGTGCAAACGGCGCGTACCGTTTTAAACGGCCACATGCACCGTTGAGAACTGGATATGTCTAACTGTGTTGGATAGGACAGGTAGGGCATTGTCGCTCCGTCTGTTGTCATCCAGTACAGAAGAAAAAAAACGTTGGCTCCGGTCATAGCTTTTACGACGACTACTATTTCTCATTTGAGTTGCCTCAAATTGGCTGGAGGTTGTTAGTCTCCAACGGTCAAGCCAGCAGGGAGGCCACTGACAGCGATCTTGCTCATAAGACTGTTTTAAAACCTCGGACACTAGAGAAACTCCATTGACTGCTTGAGTCTCTCGTTTTCCTGTTTCCGTGGAATCCATTCCCTGCGTTGGTATTGACGCTGCGACGAGGCCATCTGGAGGACGTCACAGCGCCAATTGTCTGTCCACTCCTATCTCTCCAGAGAAAGCAGCACCAAACAATGCTCGCAAAAATTGCATACTAATCATAGATTTCCTTATGTCTAGTTGCATTTTCAACATCTAGGCAGCCCGGCAAGTAAGGCGGTTGATCTTTGACCTGACAGCGCTGCTCTCCGCCGTTCAGTCTGGGGTAACAGGGCATCAGGGCCAAGTTTGGCGTCCTCGACGGGAATAAGGCTTTGAAGTTCTGGGAGAAGAATACAATCCACTAAGATTTTTGTTGAATATAGCCATTTCGCGACCTGTATGAAATAACAGGTTGTATCGCTATGTCTCAACGCCTCCCACGGCCAGTGCAATTTGAACTATGCATGGCAACACGCACCAGACAACGTTGAGTCGCCATACTGTGGTATACAATGAGTGTACGAGGTTCGGTCTATGGAATCATAGCTGACCTTGCTATCCTGGGGTTTGCCATTGCTCTTGTTGCCCGGAGTCCACCCACGACCTCCTCATTGCATCCGCATACTCCATTGACGTGGTATACACCCCCTTCCTGCTCGTCTGACTGGTACCGCGACTTTTTGAGTGATACACCACTATCAGAGCAAGCTCTTCAAGACGGGACTCTCGGGGCAAGCGAATCTACATGGCCGCGGCCACTTCAGCAGGAGTCTCCTCAGCGACTGGCGCTTGTGGGCGGTTGCCGCTGCATCACACCCGTGTAAGTAGGCCCGTTTGGCGTTGCTTCCGGATAGCAACCGTAGTACGACCATGTATACCAGAGTCACCGGAATGGTTCAGCTGTTGCACATTGGCAAGATGGATAGCCGGCACGCAACGCCAAGAGGATGGTAAATGGAGCGACTGAGAATTGTTCGTTTGGTTTGCCGCACGACAGTTCTGTGCTAACTGTTATTGATGAGAATATATTCTATATACTCCGTACTGATATACCGGACATAGAGTCCCAAGAGCACCACCTATACAACCTCCTCCCAAGACCTACGACCACGCTAGACATCTTCCAACGGTTCATCCACCGTTCCGCCTCGGCACATCCCGCCACCGGTTTTGCACAATATGCACAATTCTACCACTCGAGCCTTGGCGGCGCAGGCCACCTGACAGTCCCCAAGGCGTCCAGGGCTCCATGGCAAGTCCAGACGCCACCAAGCCACGCCACCCATCTGCACCCCAACAGAGACACGTTAGCAACCGTTTTTTTTTTGGCACATGGGCTGGAAACCAAACTAGCATCGATAATTGGAAGAATGAGTCCATGTGCAGAGCCACGTTTGGCGTTGGTGGCTTTTGTTGAACATGGCCAGTTCCAGAACCACGGCGGTCGCCGTCTCCGGCCCGCTGGGGTGTCGATAATTCCCAAGTTGAAGCTCGTTGCCGATCCCCAATTGAATGGCCCAGAATTCTACGATTTACGCTATTATTGCATCTTTTAAATGAAAGGACGTCTCCTGCATATCGCCACTCGATGCGGGGAGGAGGCTCGTGCTGCTCGGCGACCTGGTCGTATCTACTATTGCATGTTCTGCCTATAAGATGGGCAAGCAACGGGCCGCCCCTGGCGACATGCAGGCGATAGATTGGTGATGGACAAGGAAGTGGAAAAAGACGGCAGGCTTACGTTGTTTTTTGCGAGGTGATGGTGCTGCAGGAGACGTGTACGAGTCTGGTCCGGGGAAGTGTTGCCCGTGGCGCCCGCGCGGCTTGCAGCAACGGGGGCGAAGAGAGAAGAACGGCGGGCGCGTATGGCGACAATTGAGCAAGTTATGCAGGGCCGTGAGTAATGCTTTCGTTGTTGGGGCGCCGCGGCAATACATTATCAATCATGGCGCCATTCCTGTCTGCTTGGGCGTGCCGATGTTGTGAGTCCTTGGAGAAACCGGATCGAGATCTTGTGCAGGAATTTGTGACAAGTGCCAAAGCATATCTGAAGTACCTTTGGACGTGCCTTTGATGCCCTTTTGGACATGTCGTATAAAAATGGTCACTTATCATAGCGCGGTCTCGCAGCTGCATTATCTTCGCCGCTTGTCGTGAAAGATGTGCACACGGCAGATGAGGCGTCAGCATTGGCAAGTACCACACCTGAGCATGAGAATCATAGCTTCAGACTTGAGTTTGAATAAATATGATTTTGCCTCATCGTGGCAGATTCATGTGCCTAGGCATTTTTGCCTTGATGATGAGCCCGGAGCTCAATAGTGTGCATGGTTCTTCGACTGTCTCAGTACTAGCCGTCGTGGAACATCAACTCCAAAAATGCCACCAATGGCAAGGCAGCATCGCCGCAGGCCAGCAAAAAACCTCAAAAAGCCAGTCAGCTTGAAATACAAAAAATACCACGAATCAGCAATCGTGGTGACTCTGGCATTCCGTAGCTACCGGGCAGTCGACGTTCCAAGTCGGCCTGATGTATACAAGACGCTCTGTTCTTACCCAGTGAAGCTTCAATTCTAGCAATTCTTCACCATTGAACCATTTTCTACTTAAAACGCAACTCCAATCTCTATCCTGCCCAATACAGCACGTCAGGTCCCCAAATCCGCAGACCGCCCGCCATGCACCGGACCACCATTGCCGCCGCCGCCGCCGCCGCCCTCGCGGCCCCCGCGTCGGCCGCCAGCCCGCAGATGCAACTCAACTACTACAGCGACCAGTGCCGGACGTACGTCGGCGACGTCAAGGTGACGTGGGCCACGGCGCTGTGGGGTGGCAAGGACAACTGCTTCAACTACAGCTACGGCAGCTTCGTCAACATTGCCAATTGCTACAAGGGCGGCTGCCAGTGCAACATGTTCTACGGCAAGGACTGCACCGGCGCCTCGACGAAGCTCTTTGACAACCACAACTGCGTCGGCGGCGCGCCGCAGATCCAGTCCTTTGCCTGCTACTATACCTAAGCGCGGGGCTGCTGAGGGGGTGTAGATGAGTTCCTTGTGTCGTTATAGTCGAGCTCGATCAGGGAGAGAAAATTGAAAAAAATATCATGACGATTCAACCTTTCATTGTAAATGCCCTCGTCGTTCACTCTACCGTTCAGTCATGCCGTTAGTATTGTTGGGAATCACTGTATGGGACCTATCCACATGGCCGTCATTGGTGAAATGTAGGAAGACTTATTGGTGAAAGAAATTACATGGCTTTAAAACTTTACAATTGGTTGATTGAATATTCCATCTGTTTGAACAACCACTGCCTGCCCGTGTGCTATTCCGTGACGGAGAAATACACACGAGGCATCTAGCTCAGACTCTGGTTCGCCAGAGCGTGACCGAGTCCCTCCGTCTCTGCCGATATCAACTTTGTATTCTCCAGCGTCCTGTCATCCGTCCGGCCCAGCATGAGCTTGTTGACCGGCGTCTGGTCCTCCCTGAGCGCGCGCCACTTCCAGGCCCTGACCAGCGGCCGGTCCAGCTCCGTGCCCTCGAGAATATCAACCACCCACCTGCCAATGTTGGGCAGGTACTTGAACGCATGGCCGCTGCCGCCGGTGACGCACGCGAGCCCGCGCACGCCCGGCACCCGGTCGATGAGGTAGTGGTTGTCAAACGAGTCCGTGTACCAGCACAGCCGGCTCATGGCCACGGGCACGCCGGCCTCGGCCAGCGCCGGCAGGTACGTCGCGACAAAGTCCGAAATCACCTGGTGCGCCTTTTGCGGAATGTCCGAGAGGGCCGTGCCGCCCGTCGTCCAGCGCGTGCGCGGCACGCTCCGCGCCTTGCCGTCCGCCTGCGCCACCGGGTTCGTGTACTTGGTCCCGCGGTACCCAATCTTGAGCATCCCGTGGTGGTCCACCGGGAACCCGTACAGCCCCCCGTCGACGCCCTCGCGCTGCTTGAACATGAAGGCCGGGAAGCGCGCGTGGCTGAAGCGCTCCCGGAGAGGGGACCCCGCCGGGATCTTGTACAGCATCACCGACCCCGCCGTCGTCTCGCACAGGCCGTCGAGCTCCGGGACGAGAGCTGGCGTCCACCCGCCGCAGGCCATGATGACTGTCTGCGCGGGGTGCTCCTTGGCGTCGGCCGTCGTGATGCCCGTCACCGCGTCCCCGGCGCGCACGAGGGCCGAAAAGGTGCCGGCCGCGCCGCCCAGGACAAACCGGACACCGAGCGTCCGCGCCTTGTACAGCGCGAAGCAGCACGCCTTGTCGGCAACCACGACGCCACCCGTCGTGTCCAGAACGCCGACCGTGTCCTGGGCGAACGGGCACAGCGCGTGCGCGAGGCCCTTGGATGCGGCGACGGCGCGGTCCTCGGGATCGCTCGTCACGAGCGCGACCTTGTCCTGCCCCGGCGGGTTGGCGTTGTTCGCCGAAGCCCGGTCAAAGTCACTGAGCACCGGCTGGTCGGTGCACATGAGCACGCCGTTGTTGATCCAGATGGTGTCGCTCCGGGACAGGCCGAGGCCGTTGTCGGGGTCGACGGCCTTGATCTCCTCGTTCCACTTGTTCCAGAGCACAATGGCCTCGGCGCTGAGGTCCGTGTACTCCTTCTGGCCGCCATAGGCAGAGCGAATGATTTTCGAGGCATCTGCGCAGACTGCGTGTTAGCGTGTCGCGACGCGGACAGCGGGCTGGGTGACTTACCGGCCGAGGCGCCGTCGCAGCCGTCATAGTACGAGTACCGCGTCTTGTCGACGGGGTGGCGGTCAAAGACGGTCACATCCGTGTATCCGGAGATGGCCAGGTGAAGTGCGGTGCTGAGCCCAAAGATGCCGGCCCCGACGATGATGATTGGATCTTGCTTGTTCATTGTCAAACTGCTGATTGTGTGAGTGATGCGTGGATGGGCACAAGGAACGAGTCAGTAGCTTCAGGGAACGGAAACTCAGAATAGAGGACGTGGGAGAGACTGTCAAGAACAACTATCGCAGAAGTACTTGGTAGCTTCTGATGGTTACGACTACGTGTCCAAACCGCATGGGATTACGGGAGATGACGGAATCCTGAGTGTTGTAGACCAATTTCCGCATTTGACCCCAAAGCTGGCCGGCCACGGATTGACGGCTTGGCGATGACTGTGCGTCGCGTCTTCCTTGGTAGCGCCGACGAAGCATGCTACGGAGCACATTCTTCTGACATGCAGCATCATCGGCGTATCTTTGCCGAGGGCCGGGAAGCCTCCTTTGCTGGACTGGACGCCAGCGGCCCCCCTCCATCAGGGTTTTTTACGGCGGCGCGGGGCGGGGACTGCCGTCATGCTTTCGGCTTCGATCTAGTTTCGAGCGATATTACTAAGATCGGGCCATGATGGGCAAGGAACATCCCTTCAGCTGCCCCATGCCGTGGCATGACTCGCAAGGGCCAGAGTCGGCTCCCGCAGGGCAGGGTCATGGTTGGTAACTAGCACATTCCACAAAGGCAGGCAGATCCGAGCTTTGGGAGCTTGTACGGCGAAAAACGGAACGATGGAAATCTCGGGCAATTTGACGGGAATATTTTCGCCATGTGGAGCCTTTATTATCTGATTGTATCTGGAAGTGGGTGGTCTCGTCTAAGTGGCTAAACCCGCTGGCCGAACGAACCACGACCAAAGGAGAGGTATTGTCTGAAATGCGAAGGTTTTTTCATCTGGCTGTATTTCTTTGTAAATAACTTTTATGAGGTACTATTATAACGCTAGTCGTCACAGAGCAAGCAAAGCTGGTCGTGTAAGAGGTTCATAGCCCGTAACGTGTCTGGCAAAGGCACAACACATGAGATGCACCCAGAGTCGTCGGCTGTGTCCATCGTTAGCCAATACAATCATGTATTTCGAAATGGTAATGCCGGACTTGCCTTGTGGTAAAAGCGTAGACGGTATTCTCTCGCTTCTCAAAATTGCGCGCACCTGGCTTGCCAGCCGACCATGACCGTCGGCGCGACTGCAGATCAGAGTAATGACGCTGGCGCTCTGTGAGGAGCCAGATCTTCCAGGGCCAAAGAGGAAACGCTTGATATAAGACCAGTAAAACGTCGGCCATCTTCTCGACTTGGAACTCGGTGACAGCCGAGACGCATCCGGCGTGGTGAATTCAACGGTAGCAGCGTCTCGAGAGAACGTCTTCGCCCTCTTGGGAAAGCAAGACGTGCCCTCCCTTGGCCGTAGATGCAACACACAGACATTGTTCTTGACTGTCACGGCCCGACAAAACACCTCGACCGACTTGAGCGACGTACACTCCGTGTCGGAATCATTCGCGGCCTCGCCGGCGCGCGCCGCCACCACCGTGCCCGCCCCCGCGGGACGCTTCACGTTCCTGATGCACAGCGCCATGCCCGGGGCCGCCTCCATGACGTGCCGAATCGCGAGGGCGTGCACGACTTCCGACCCGTGCTCCGTCAGCGCGGCCGCCTCGGCCAGCGACATGTGCGGGATGAGCTGCGCGCGCGGCACCCTTGACGGGTCCGCCGTCAGGATGCCGTCGACCTCCTTCCAGATCTGCAGCGCGGCGGCGCCGAGCCCGACAGCGCACAGCGCCGCGCACAGATCTGTGTACCCCCGGCCGACGGCCGACGCGAGCATGCCCCCGTCGCCGTCGCTGCACCCGAAGAAGCCGGTGATGACGGGCACGCGCGTGCCGCAGGCGGAGAGTCTCCGCGCGATGGCGGTAGAGAGCGCGGCGTACGACGACGGGCACTTTGCGGTGGCGGCGGAATGGCGGGGAAGGATCGTGGAGAGATCTACGTATTCGGCTTCGATGTCCTGTTGTGTTTGTTAATATTGGCGCCTGTATACGACAAGAAGAGGAGCCGAGAAAAGCTAGCAAAACGAAGAAAACGAAGAAAATACGCACCAAATCTTGTAAAATCGCAACCATGCACAGACAGCTGAGCTTCTCGCCCAGACTCATCAGCAGGTCCTGGACGAAGCCGTAGTCATACTTGTCCGAGAACAAAGCACCAGCAACGGCCGAGACTGTGTTTTGACTTTCCAGTGCCAGCCTCTCAGAAAAAGAGTGTTGAGAAGCTTTGCTCCCAAGTGAAGGTGCGACGGCTGCAATGTGCTCCTCGACAATGACCTGGAGTTTGGTCTGTAGTGTTGCCAGGCAGCCGAGGGGCGCTGCACCACGAGACCTCGATGCCTCCAAGATGTTGAAGATTTCTATTAATCTAGTCGAATGGTACGTTAGTATCAACTGCGAGCAGTGTCGTATCTCGTCTTATCTCGTTTTTGCGTACCGTGTTGTAGTGCCTGCCGCCTTGGATGTGGTGCTTCGGGCCGAGCACACCACGGCAACCCGGTTCTGGCGCAGCGTTTCCCTGCATGAGTTTGGCTCAGAGTTAGTTTTATGCTTTTATTTTGTAGTTGTGACTTTTGAGCCTGTCCTGCACAGACTGCAGCGTGCCACAGCACCGTACCGGATAATGTCTTTGGCAATCTGCACCCAATATGTCAGTACAGGGACACGCATATAGCTGCTGCTGTCTCAGGGCGACCTACCTCAAAGGCATATTTGCCTATACTTGTGCCGCCGTATTTCTGCACCACCCATTCCAACTCCGGGTTGTTGCAATTCGTCGCTAGTCCCATCTTGAAAGTTGATAGATCTGCCGCAAGCGCGCGACGAGCATTGAAGCAGGTTCTTGGGCTCGAGTTGCATTTATCTCAACTTGGTGATACAATCACTGCTTACACTTAGTCATGAGCGAGTTTCTCCGAAGCCTTCTACACACGCAGTACAAGATGCACCGAACGTGAAACCTGGCCTGCATTCCCAACCGTCACCATCCCTGACGAGACCCGATTCGCCAGCCGCTCCGGCTTATGCCCTGGCTGGAGATGGCGAGCGTACGGGCTGAATGGAGCATGAACTATGAAGCCTGTTTCTGCTCATGCAAGAACATGAATCGCCCCATCAGGGTATATGCAGCCGTGCTAATTCCACCACGTCCTGCACAGCCTCCCGTCGATGGCGTCGTGAGCGACCGTGTTGTTATTTCCCTCGGCAGGACGGTATTGCTGGCTGGATTGAGCAGATTCTCGAGTCTCGATCTTGTGCTCCGTCCGGTTCGATCCACCTCGGCCGCTTGGCTGCAACGTCTTGGCGGCAGATGGGCTCCCAGATGAGATGCCGTTTTAGCCGGGGCGATTTCCCTCGTCGCTTGGATGCTGATTATCCGGCATGCATGCGCCAAGCTTATGCGCCAGGTTCCTGCGAACGGACCGCAGGATTTTGTCACTGTTCGTTCCGCTCGAGTCCGGCATTCGCTGCTGTCGTCTTTGCGTGACGCTGTTGGTACATACGTCGGAGCCCTGGACGAGGATTGGTGCGGGGGACGGCTTGGCAATTTTTTCCATACAGAGTATCCATGTGTATGCATATATGTATGTATAGATTACTTGGTACGTATTACACCATGAGACAACTTGGCAGGTTCCATCGTGTATGCATATATGTCGGTCTATTACACGAGGGGCAGTTATGCTTACATATCCACATGGGACCGGAAACAATTTAGATGATCTTTTTTAAACAGTGCATGACTCCATAAAACGTATAAACTAGCGAAAACGAACAGCCGAGAGCTTTTACAACATCTGCGGGACAAGGGTCGCAGGGGGGGGCAGGGATACCGCGTGCAGGCCGGGCCGGACGTGGACCGCGGCGTCATCATCCTCTTCCCTGTTGACGACGGCATCCGCCGCGCGCATGGCCTCCAAGCACGCCATCGCGAGGGCCTTCTGGTCCTCGAGGCCGACCGAGATGCGCACAATGGCCTCGCTGAGCCCGTAGCGCGCCGCCCACGGCTTCTCCCTGGCGAAGACGACCTGCACGTACGGCAGCGCGAGCGTGACGTGCGCGCCGATGGACGGGCCCTTGCACACGTGCAGCGCGTCGAAAAAGGCCGCCGCCGCCTCGACGCTGCAGAACTCGAGCGTCAGCAGGTACCCGAACCCGGGCGCGAACCCGGCCGTCGGCGCCCGCATCCGCGCCGCGTAGTGGCCCGCCGACCAGCACGTGCTCGGGTGGTAGACGTGCGCGAGCGGGCTGCGCGCGTGGTGGTGCCGGGTGAGCGGCGCCAGCAGCGACACGAGGTACGACGCGTTCTGGTTGAGCACGGCCGTGCGCGCCA